TGTGTGGGGCCCTAGATAGGGATGTCCCCACAATGCACGTCCCCACCTGCAAATAACACCTCCTATGCTAATAGATGCCCATTGTGATGAGGCCATATGATGAGTACTTTATAAGCATTGTCTTGTTGAATCCTCCCCAAAACCCATGGCTGGCATTGATTCCTTTTATAGATGGAGGAACAAAGGCTCAGAGAGGTTCAGCCCAGGGTTACACCATTAGGAACCCAGCGCTGTCTGACTCTGAAGTCCGAAGTTTGACTCTCACTTCTACACACCTTTAAAAAATACCTACTGCACACAGTGGCATGAAGATCAGCTCTCATCAGACAGGTAAGGAGAATGATGGCCACAGTGGCTGTTCAATCACAAACTGTCTCCTTTCTTTCTCTGTGTCAGGCCCTGCCTTGGGACTTCCTGACCCAGTGGGCACACAAACAGGAACACCAATAGTCATTCAAGTAGCTGTGGGCCCTGGGAGCACAAAGGAGGGAGCACCCACGCCCGAGGGAGCCACGGAGGAGGGGCACTGGGACAGAGCCTTGGAGGACAAATGGAGTTTCCTCTTTGGGGAGGTAGGAACAACAGAAGCAAAGGCTCAGGGGTGTGGCCCGCACAGGGAAGCATAAACAGTTTGAAGAGGCATGGCTGGGGTTGAGACAGTGGATACCTGGGGGAGAAGGGGTCTGACTGCTATGGAGTCCTAGCCTGATCCAAGGCACTGAGGATTTTTAAGCAGGGAGAGAATAGGATCGGAACTGGTTTCATCTCTGCAGAGGGCCTGGCTGGTGGTTGAACTAACAGTCAGGAGTGGGACTTCCCCTTGGGTCTCCCTGGCATCCCTCCTCTGAGCTGGCTTCGGGGACCATCCCAGATCCCGTGCTACTCACCCACGGGTCAGAACTGCCCCCGAGGGCTTCTTCCTTGGCCATCACTAGGCTGGGGGGAGCTATGTGGGCCTCTCCTGACACAGGCCAACCTAATCATCTCAGCCTATAAATAGGACTCAGGATTAGTCTGGAAATAGCTGTGCCAAGCCAACTCCACAGGCATCACGGGCACGCACAGTTCCGGAAATGGTTCTTCTCCTCAACACAATTAAAACCCAACACTTCCTCAGGAAACTATTGTTCACACTCTGCTTTGCTTCCTTAAGCACGAAGTAGTCGGTTTTGGGGGAAGAACCTGCCTGCTTACTGCTGATTAGTGGGGGTATGCTTTGTGGAGAGGAGGCCCTTTTCCTGCTTCTCCTTCTCTGAGGACCTGAGGGAGCCACTACCACTCTCTGGGCCTCAGTTTCCCCAAATGTAAACTAGGGAGGTGGGACACGATGCCATTTTTAACTCACCAGGATTTCAAAAATTAGAATTGTAATAAACATGTGAGCAGGGAGAAAGGAACAGGTCCAGGGCCTGCCACGGAGGGGCTGAGTGGCCTCGGATGAGCCACTGTTCCTCTCTGGGCCCCAGATTACTCAGCTGTAAAATGAAGGTGCTGGGGGATGATGTCCAAGGTCAACAATTTTTTTAAATTTCATTTTTTTGTTTAGTACTTTTGAGAACCCAGCCAGCTGGCCATCCTATGCCAGCCTTGTGCTGAGTGCTGGGGATATAGGGACAAATAAAACCCAGTCCAGGCCTCTGTGTGCCCAGCCCTGTGCCGGATCCTAGAGTGTAACAGCATGTCCAGTCCCCTCAGTGTCCCACTAGAGGCTTTCTTTGGGGCTGCTGGGGACATCTTGTTTCTAGTTGAGAATTCAGATTTACGTCCAAAGACAAGAACTCCCTGAGGGGCAGATTACAACATGGACTGAGCTATTACAATCGACAAGGACACAAAGCTAACACAGCCATCGTTAAACACCAGCCATGTGCTAAGGACTTGATTTCCCCATTGTTTAATCATCACCAACTCTATTATCACCCCCATTTCACAGATGTGGAAACTGAGGCTGAGAGGAGTAAGGGACTTGTCCAAGGGCACAGAGCAAGTCAGGGCTACAGTGATGTTTCAGGCCCAGACCTGTTTGCCTCCGGAGCCCAGGGTTTAACACACCCCAGTGCTGCTGTGAAAGGGCTCTGGACAGCTCAGGCTGGCCGGCCAATGCGGGGATAACAGAACAGGGGCATGGAACAGAAAGGGGCATTGAGGATGTTGCTGTGTGTGTGCGGTGGGGGGAGTGACAAGGCTTTAGCAATGGTACTCATTCTCTCCAACCAGCTCCCAGCGCTGCCGTCCTCTGATCCACCCTCCACTCTGCCTGCCATGGACTGATTGTTCTGAAATCCCATGGATCAAGTCACTCCTCAGCTGAAGACCTGTCCATGATTCCCTGGTACCCAGAGGATAGAAACCCAGTATTTAAAACCTCTCTGACCAGGTCTTCCGGTCAGCTCCCCACCTCAACCCTCACACTCCTGCTCACTAGTCCCCAGGCATAGTGGGCTCCTCCAGCGGCCAAGCCTTCGCCTATGGGGCCTTCCTGCCTGGAACGCCCAACTCCCGCTTCTCAGCCTTTTTTGACTCTCAAGTAGGAAAGGCACTCTTTGGCTCCCTGAGCCCTTTGGCACTTATCACAGAGCACTCTGGGCGTTAACTGCCACTGTCTCCGTCTTGGATTAGAGTGGATATCCAAGGGCCAGGTGGTGTCTGATTCACCTCCCTCTCCAGTGCAGCAGCTCAGCAAGGGCTGACCGGGTAAACTAAAAAATGCAAAGAGCCAAAAGAATTCTGGGAAAGTACACGTTTCCCAGGACTGCCCAGTGACAAGCCCCATACTGAGGCACAGCATCAGGACACCCTGCTGTGGAAGAACCAAAAATTGCACCCTCACGGCTTATCAGGATGGTCCTTGTGTCTGTCTCTTTCAAGGGTTCTGATAATGAAATCTGGGCAAGTCACCCTCCTGCTTTAAAACTTCCAATGGTTCCCAGAGGTCTAGCATAAAATCCAAACTCAAGAGCCCACATAACCTAGATGCTGCCTGGCCCCCAGGTCCTCCTCTTGCCATGCCCCCTCCCTGGCCAGCCTCCCTCGCTTCTTTCAGTTCTTCAAGGACTCCCCCACACTAAAGCCTTACCCAGACTGCCTCTCTGCCTGGGGGGCTCCTCCGTTCCCTGCTCACTCAGCCACCTCCCTCTCCCTCTTCAGGTCTCACTTTTTAGGGGAGGCTTCCCTGATCTGTCCAGATAAGACCTCACCACTCCCACCCAATCCCACACGCTCCCATAACCCGATCGTTTCCTTCACAGCAAGAATTAATCTTTGGTGTAAATAATGATCTACCGGAAGACCCATGAGGAATGGGAAGGTCTTGTTTTTTGCTGATTCTCAAACACCCAGCTCAGAGGCTAAATATCTCTCAAATGAATGAAGATATGAATGGATGAATGAATGAATGAATGAATGAATGAACCTACATACATATATCAAGACAAGAAGGTGGGCAGAATCCTAGGGAACGCTGAGGCAGAAAAAACGGGGCCCTGGGCCAGGCATCGTGGCTCACACCTGTAATCCCAGCAGTTTGGGAGGCCAAGGTGGGCAAATCACTTGAGGTCAGGAGTTTGAGACCAGCCTGGCCAACGTGGTAAAACCCTGTCTCTACTAAAAACACAAACATTAGCCAGGTGTGGTGGCACATGCCTGTAGTCACAGCTACACGAGAGGCTAAGGCAGGAGAATCATTTGTATCTGGGAGGAGGAGGTTGCAGTGAGCTGAGATCATGCCACGGCACTCCAGCCTGGGCACCACAGCAAGACTCCATCTCAAAAAAAAAAAAAAAAAAAAAAGAAAGAAAGAAAGAAAAAGAAAAACAGGGCCCTAACTAAAAAGAGGGGAGGGGCTCTAACTGAAAAAAAACCAGGGCCCTAACTAAAAAAGTCAGGAGGATAAACAGGGCCCTAACTAAAAAGACAGGAGGAAATAAACCAGACAGTGCAGCCTCCCAGAAGCAAAAGGAGGGAGTTTCTAGAACTGCACCAGAGACTGGTACATGGAATCCTGAGGAAAGCACTAGATTGGACATTGAGGAGGTCACTGGGGCCTCCGTGATTGAACCAAGGTTCCGTGGAGGTGGGCACAGGGCTGGTACATTGCAGGGGGCAGAGGAGTAAAGGGGGGTGAATAAGCAAAGCTCTCAGGTGATGGGTGCTCAGCTGGGCCTATGCCAGCCTGGCCCTGCAGGGTCTATGGAAGACAGGGCCCCTGTGTCACAGTTACCAAAAGCATCAACAGGGCATAACATTCTTTTTGTTGACAGATCATTTTGAGGTAACTTGGCTTTTGGAGTTGTCAGGGCTCAGTCTCAAAGGCAGGCGCATCAGAGCCAAGACTCGGCCCTCAATTCCTCCTATTAGGGCAGCACTAGGGCCACCTCTTTGTCACCAAAACCTTTGGGTAGCAGCTGATGGGGCGAGTCACCTTTCTGGGCCCAGCAGGCCTTTCGGGAATCACTGGCTTTTGGGGTACAACATCCTGGGGACCATCAAAAAGCCCTTTCACCTGAGCTTTGGGAAAGAGGAACCGCTCCGGCTGTGGGCGGCTCGTGTCATCATCTGGAAGCCAGCTGGGCCACAGCAGACGTGTAAGTCCTGTGTGCATTCATCTCCTTCTCCTTTTGGCAGAAAAGGGATGGTGTGGGCTGGAGAGGTGTTTTCCTGGGTTCTTGCGCAATTGCTAATTAGAAATTCACTTTTGTTTGGCTGTTGGAAGCTGGGCGATTCCCCCTAGTAGCGATCCTTCCTGTCTCACTGGTCACAAAGCCCTTTGGCATCTACGAGCTCACTGGGTCCACAGAGCAGCTTTGTTAGGTGGGTGGGGGAGACCAAGGCACCCGTCTTACAGATAGAAAAACCGAGGCTGCAGCTGGGAGGTGAGCCAGTCTCCTGGCTTCCAGCCCAGGACTCTGCACTCCTCCCCCCACCTCCCCGCCTACTTCAGCAGGTCACCTGTGAATCTGATAGTCAGGTGGGCCCCACCCTGCCAGCTGGCCCCAGTGGGCATGACTCATCCGACTTCCCCATGACTCACACGCCTCGGGTGCTCCTCCTCTGGTCAACAAGTCTGGAGACTTGGCAAATGGACCCCCATTTTTCTCACCTCTCCAAAGCCTCTGGGAAGAATTCCTGCACCTCCTCTTTATGGGGACTCTACTATTCTACAGAAGAGCCACCAAGGCCTTGAGAGGGAAAGCCACTCTCCTAAAGTCACACAGCAAGCAGGCAGCACAGCCAGGGTGGGAGCCAGGCATCCGGGCACTGAGCCCAGTCCCTGCCTCCTCCGCACAAGATCACTCTCGCCTAACCTCCCTCTCAAGGGCAGGAAAGGAGCAGAGACGCACTCTGAGCCTTATTGGGAAGACCTCAGGGACTCCCACTGAATCCACTGCGGCTACAGTGGCTGCTTCCACCACTGAAGTCCCCTCCAGGCTTCCCTGGGCAGCCAGGGCGGGGTTTAACAGGAGGACAGGTGTCTGCATTGCTCTACCTACCTAACAGGGCTGTGCAGGGTGAAGAGCGCTGCTCTGTGGGAAGGCACCCGGACCAAGGCCGAAGCACTGGACAAAGAGCTATGAGCACCACCTGTAAAAAAAGGGCACAAGAATGTCAGCCTCAGGGGGAGTTCAAGGTTATCTGGTCAAATCCCCATTTGATGTTTCAACTCCTTTCCTCCCCTCCACCAGGGGTCACACAATCAGTACTTGCACACATCCGGCAACAGGGCACTCACTACCTGCCAAGGCTGCAAGACCTGCTGCTACAGGGTTTGGCTGGGTAAAATAATTTTCCTAAGGACGCACTAAAATCTCTCTCTTCTTAGGCCTTGTACCTGCTGGTACTAGCTCTGCCTCCTTCTGGGTCAGCCAGAACAGGTCTGTCCCCCTCTTTCCTGATGGCTCTTTGGAGATTTGAAGATAGTGATCCTGGGCCCCTCAAGTCTTCTACAAAGTGTGCATCCCTTTTCCTCCAGCTCTTCCTGAGACCAGGGTTTCTGGTTCGCTCACCCTGTTCCCTGATCTGCTCCAGATGAACTCTGTCCCTACTGACAGGACAAGACCCAGAATTAGACAATCAGACAAGCTCTACCCAGGGCAGGGCGAGCAGGACTCTCACCTCCTTCATTAGAGATATCATGCTTCTATTAATTCAGCCTAAAATCCCATTCACATTTAAGGTAGTCCTATTGCATGGCTGAATTCAGTTTACAGTCAACCTCAGAGTTGTACTTTAGGACTCTGGAGTTATATAAACTGGGCCCTGACTTAACTGTGTAAGTTGAGCAAGCTACATCACTTCTCCGAGTCTCAGTCGCCTTCTCTGTTCAAGAGGGATAATATTAGAACCTACAATGAGATCAAACATGTTCAGGGTTTTGCACAAGGCATATGTTTACCCTAATTATTACCCTGATTATTAACAACTAAATTTCTAAGTCTTTTGCCTGCAAATTGTATCTTTCTCATCCTGCACATGTGCGGTTTGGGGACCCACTCTGTTGATTTTTCATATTCGCAGCTCTGTGCCTCAGCATCACTCTATTACTGTTCTAATGCACTACAGCTGAGCAAGACTACATTATCAATGTCTGGTGACAGGACTTTCTCTCCCTCTAGGCTGTCAGCTCCTCAGAGGCAAGGATTCTGTCTGCTTCACCTCTGAAGCTTCAGCATGGCATGTGCCCAGCAAATGGCAGGGCCAGTGGACATATGCTAGATGAGCGGATGAAGGACCACCCCACATCAGCTCATCGTGGAGTATGCAGCTCAGTCCCCCCACCTCTCAGGCACAACTTGGATCTTCACCCTTCCTCACCACTAAGAATTCCAGTCAGCTACATTCAGAGGAAAGCTGAGCAAACTGGCTCCTGCCCACACTGGAAAATTTCTCTGCCTAAACCAGCTTCCCCAAGCCAAGGGGAAGGTCCAAGATCCTGAAGGTGGCAGGGCCATGCAGGCTCCTGGGATTAAGACACAAACAAGCCCTGTTCTCAGGCCGACAGTAAATGATCCAGACAGTCTTGATGACTTGTGCATTGTGACTGACACGGGATACAGCCACGGAAGTGGAGTCACGGTACCCAAAACCAGAGACATCAGAGGCAGACACTTATCTGGGCTGCAGGACCTGGTGCCCACTTCTGTGGGCCTCTCTCAAAGACTATGGCAGAAACTTCCTGGTTCCAAGGGACGGGCCAAAGCAGAGTTGGGTTTTGTTGTTCCGGCAAATAACTAATGACCTCCCGCACTATGTCAACTCTGTGTGAGGATGAGCCTTTCGAATCCAGCTCCACTTCTTTCTACACACCCCAAATTGCACTCTCATCCTCAGATGCATATTGCAGTGCTGCATTTGTTCCCAAGTGCAACCTGCTCCTTCCCAACTGCACCTCACCTCAGCAAACAGCACTGCCATCCACCATCCACCCAGTGGACCAGTCCAGACACCAGGCTCTCACCCTCCTCAACACACCACCTCACCCCTTTGCTCTGTCACTCTCCCCTCCAATGTATCACCATGTCTTGCTAGTTCAACCCCTGACTGCCTCCAGAGTGTCACCCCTTCTCTCCACCTCAACGCCAACATCTTGGTCCATAACCCCATCACCTCTCGCCTGCATGACTGCAGAACCTTCCTAACTGATCCTCCTGCATCCTCTCCCTCCTACAATGCATCCTCCTCAGAGCAAGCCCAGACCATGCCACTCCTCTGCCCAGACTCTACCATGGCTCCACTGTGGCCCCAGATAAAGTCCAAGATCCTTAACAAACCTCTCCACATTCTTCATGACCTGTCCCCTTCAACTCCTTCAGCCTCAGCCCTCATGGCTTCCTGTCTTCCACTATACCCCACCAGGCTCCAGCCAGATGCAACGGCACTCTGTTCCTGAGTCCTCCACGTAGTTTCCGCACAGACCTCCACACCCACTAGTCTTCCCAGTCACACTCTACAGTCTATTTGCAAGTCAGCCTCCCCAGTTGCTCCCGTGTATCCCAGAGCCTGGCCTAGGGCTGGGACCACCGCAGCTCAAGATTTACCAAAGTAAGAAACTATGACTCCCATGCGTGCACACGTGTGTAACATACGTGCACATGCACACACACATTCGTAGAGCCGGCTAAGAGTGCAGATGCTGCCATCTACGGGCAAGAAAAGCATTACACCCTTCCTAAGATTCAGACACACCCCAGGAGCCTCCAAGCTCTCAGACTCAGCAGGGTTTAGAATTAGCCTCAGCTAACTCCAAGTTGGTCTGTTTTCCATTTTGGACCTTAAGGCTGCAACAGTTTAAAAACAAAGTCGGCAAAACCACTGACTCTAGTCCACCGCCCACACACTCCAGATGGAGCCATAAAGAGAAGGGTTGCGTTCCAGCACTCACAATCCCAGCCCAGGGCTCTCACTACGTGCCTGTTTGCTGAATCATATCTTAGGGCATAGGAACAGAAGATGCCTTCCAATAGTCTCAGCAGTGGAAAGGCCAGCCTTTGGGGAGAGAGCTCGCCTGGTGAAAGTGTGCAAGCCACCACGGAACCCTGTCTGTCTACGTGGCTAAAAAGGAGCTTTCCGCTCTGGAGGTGGGATCGGGGGAGGCTGGAGCAGAGCATTTTTCTCTCCTAAAGGACTGCTCCCAGTTCATTGGAAGGGCCTTCAGACCTGATGGGAGTAACATGATATCTGTCCATTAATGCCATAAGGGTTCGAATGGCCACCCTTAATAACCATAGTTATCATTTTCTGTGCATCTTCCAAGTGTTAAACTCTGCAGGCATCATGTCTCATTGTCGCAATAACTCTACCAGGCAGCAATCTTTGTCCTCATTTTGCAAAGCTAGGACACAAGCTCAGAGAGGTGAAGTAATGTGCTCAGGGTCACACAGCTAAGATGTCTGGGCAGTTCCCACCAATGCAGGCTGCCTCCCCTACGTCTTAACCTCACTATATTTCAAAGCTGTAAGGCTAGGCCTCTTGCTCACTAGAAAAACAAACAAACAAACAAAAAACATGCAAATCTTCGGGTACTCTAGCTCATGGGCCAGCAAAGTTTTTCTATAAAAGGCCAGACCGTAAATATTTTAGGCTTCATAGGCTACACACCCTCTCTGTTGCATATTTTTCCCTGTTTGTTCGTTATTGTTGTTTTTTAACAGCACTTTAAAACTATAAAACCATTCTTAGCTTAGAGGCATACAAAAACAGACTGGGGCCTCCCCAGGGCTGTAGTTTGCATCCATAAGTACAAAGAGAATAATGTTTATAATCACAAATACAAAAACTTCTGGTGAAAAGGTTGATCAAATGCTAGCTGTATTTCTCCCCTTCCAATGGCTTTTCACTGAGTCACTCTCTCTCCTAAAGAAGGACCCTACTTTGCTCCATAATTAAGCAGCAAAGTATTTCAGGGACTGTTCAGATTCTAGAAACTCATAGCTGCAGATAAAATAGATAAGCCAGATATCGAAGACAAGACATTACAAGATCTGGGCTCCAGACTCAACTCTGTTACTGTGACTGGCTCTTTAGCCCTGAAACAAGGGACTTGCCTCTTAAGCCCCTTTTCTCATAAGTATTGATTCTACATGAATAATAGATTGATTTCAAATCTTACAACTGAAAATGTGATCCCTGGACCAGCGACATCAGCATCACCAGAAATGCAGAGCCTCAGGCCCCACCCAGGCTTGTGGAACCAGAATCTACATTTTAACAAAAGCCCCAGGTGATCTTAAATGCTCTAGAACATATTTTCTGTCCATCTGAAACACAGTCCACAAAATCTTTGTTAGCAACGAGGAGAGAAAGGGTCTACAGACCTCTTTCATGATGTCATGGTATTAAGTCCCTGACCTAACGCACGGACCAGTGACTTCATAAAGCACTCCACTCTAGGACCAATTGACAGACCAAGATCTACCACCGGATCTTAAAGTAAAACCTTAGCCAGGCAGAAAGTAGACCTAGGGGAACAGGAGAAGGTGCTATTCCCCATATTATGGAGTGCGGCGGGGAATAGGTTAGAGAGAGAAATGACTTACCCAAGACCACGCAGCCAAGACAAACTAAGTGGGCATGACCACCACCAGGTTTCTTAATCTTCCTTAGTCAGGCCTTAGGTTTCATGAGAACTGAAATCATTTCGGTTTGGTAGAGCAGCAATGAGAGGGCTTGCTGTTGGCTTTGGGAAATTCACTTGCTCTCTCAGGGCACAAGTATCTGTAGCCATGAAGTGAGCGGGTAGAGCCAGGCGATTCGTAAGGCCCTGCCATAAAAGTCATGTTCTGGAAAGTTTTGAGATGAGGAGGCAGTCAGGAGGGGTGCCCTATGCCAAGGGTCACCACAGTCACACCAAAGTCTCTGGGGGATGGGACCTCAGAGCCAAGTCCTTCAGTCCTTTGTGAGGAGGCTGAGGAGGGACCTGGTGTGGGCCCTAGTCATGCATCCCCTTGGGGCCACCTCAGCTGGTCACCACAGGCTGGCATGCATGCTAAGGATGTAGCCCATTTTACAGATGAGGAAAATACGTCCTCAAGAGGGGCTAGGGCTTCTTACCAAAGCAAAGAATTTTTCCCTTCAGCTGACAACAGTGCAAGGGTACCTTGTATTCAGAAAACCTAACATGTGA